AACCAGGATATTTATTGCTGGTGTTCATGCTAACAAAGAATTGTGTGTGCTTCCTTCTTCAGCTGACAGGTTAATGCTTGAGCATATATTACTTTTTCTTGGGGGGAAAAAAAAAAAAAACAGTGATATGCTTGGAAGCAGATTCATTTTTAAATAGTTGCAAAGCTAGATTAGATGCATGTCTTTTCCTGTTGATCTGCACAGGGGTTGAATGATTTGCCTGGAGTGGAAGAAAGCTTGCAGATAGGTTGGTATCAACTAGCTGCCGAAGACAAACTGGGTGGGAGGAGCAGCGGGGTGGAGGTGCTTTTATAATATAGCACTGGCCCGAGACTAGAATATCTGCGTTCTTTTGGCTTCGAGCTCGCTCGTTGGCCTTGGCGTATCCTCCCATCTTGAAAGGAAAACAATTGATATTATAAAATCCCCGTTGTTCAGCTGTTGGGAGGTTGCTGTTGTTCCTGAAAGGCGCAGTAATGGAAGAGGTCTCTTCCGGAGTCAGAAACTATCTAAAATCAGCCTATTAATATTGGCCTCTCGTTCCATGTAACCGATAGTCTGGAGAAAATGGCCTAGTGCTTACAAATAACGTGATGTTTGTTCTCATCTTCACCTTCAGGATTTTGCGGTGAACGTCATCAAAAGCACTCACGAACACTGGAAAGCTTTAATAGCGAAGAAAACTGACGGAGGGGAGATCAACTGGTAGGTTAATGCTTGTTGGTACTGTGCGCGTTCCTGTCCCCTAAACAAATAACCCTGAAATTTCTCTTTCCTGCGTGGTGCCATGCTTTCTGTTAGCTGCTGGCTGCCTCCGCACGCCTTCCCCTTCAACTTGGCAACTGTAACAGTGATTCTTAATATTCCATTATTTAATACTCTTGGGGGGGGAAAGACTTGGCTTTCCCATTCTCACAAGCGACCTTTCCCTTCCAGCACAAATCTGACGGTGTCCGACAGCCCTTTCTGCTGCAGTCAAGAGTGTGCAAAAGCTACTGTGGATGCAGTAAGTACAAATCTGAGTGTCCTACCCCCAACGTCAGTATCGGGTGAAATTATACCATTTGTGCGGTACCCTAAACTGTCCGCGCTGTGTGAATAGCGCTTTGTATGCTCAGAAATTTTTTGGATGCCTGAACACAGCACCTGTTTCTGGTTAAATAGGATGAATGTGGAGCAAGCCAGACATTCCTCTAGAGGCTTCTTCTTGCCCTTAGTCATCTGGGAGGTGGAATCCAAAACAGAGTTTGCGTGAAGGGCTAAACTTCTGAACTGTAGCTTGGCTGTCAGCTGTTCAGAGAGTGTTTAAATATTTGGCCTTCCAAGAGCTTTGCAGCACAGGTCACCCTTTGAGAAGAGAAAGTCTAATTTCTGAGAGCCTTGCAGTCGAAAGACCTCGCATCCTGTGCAGTGAAAAGCTTGGAGCTCCCAGCGTAGTAGCCTTACCGTTTCGGGAGTTAACTGCATCTCCCTAGGCTTGTGAAGCACTGCTGGTGGCAACTTGAAAGGGGTTAGAGGCATGGGACAGGAAAATCAAAACAGAAATACTGCCTCGGTGTATGGAAATGTGACTGCAAACCAGAGTGTCTCCATAAGCCTTCTGTCATCATCTTGGTTTTAAAAGTGCACGTATGCTCTGGTGGTATCCGAATTACTTTGTAAATCTGTGAAAGTGTAACCCTTGCGGAGGATGTGTCACCAGCTAGGGACCCTTGTCTGCCTTTGGTTCCTAAACATCGGGTGAAAGCTCTTCAGAGAAGTTTTTCGAGAGTCCTTTTCGAGAGTCCTATTCCACCATCGCATTGTAGGTTTAAAAAAGCAGGCTGCCTGTAACTGTGTCGACGCTGGAGTGGTCACTGCTTGTGGTGAGAAGCAGATGGCACTGCAGCCTGTGCTTAGGGCAGAGCACCTCCGGCATGTAGGACACATACGGAATGTGGAGGCTGTGGGCATGACAGGACTCACGCCGCACGTGAGCTCATTTATTCCCTCACAGCTGACCAGCGCTGCCTGCCGTGGACCAATTTACACTGCTTAGATCTTAAACTGTGCTCATAAAGACTTTTGCGGCTCTACATGATGTCTAGTGAGCTCCAGGCGTAAGGTCAACCTCCCTCAGTAGTTGTGATCTGCTGATACACTTCTCATTGCAGGCACCACCATGTAAAGCTGCCAACCCGATCCCACCCGAAGGTAAGTCTCACAACCCGCATTTATGTTCCAATGCAGAGCGGAGGCTTCCTCGAAGGAATTATTGATAGGAAAAAGAGGGTCTTAACCGCTAGCTAGGTATCTCCTCTAGCACGAGGGAGAAATGAAGGACCTTGTTGGACCCAGCTTGTGTCAGTAACGCTGTTTTATTCCTGAATCACTTCTGTCATCGCCTTATTTCCTTGTTTGGGTTGGTGAGGTGGGTAAATGAGCGGTAAGCAGGAGACCTGAGGTGCCGTAGTTTGCTCCAGGAGAGGTGCGGTTTATAGCAGGTCCTAAAAGAGCAGCGCTGCAGAGGGCTGGAGGGCGGTGACAGCAGGAAAGGGCGTTTGGTTCCCCCGGAACGGGGGGTTCATCCAAATCCTCGGTGCAGGCGAGCCAAGGAAGGGAATCGCTCCCTACCTGCACAGAGCAGAGGCAGAAATCGGTGGTGTGTTCAGTGCTTCGGTTGAACCTGCTGATCAGACATCTGTCACCGAACAAGTGTCCACTCTGAGCCAGTAACGAGCCTTTTGATGCCTCGGGATATGGCTCTGTAATAAAACCACAGCTGTGGGACAAATCTGCGCTCAGCTGTCACGCAAAACCTGGATGTTGCTGTAGCAGGGACAAGACCTGAGGGCAAGCGTGAGCTAATGACGGTGTTGAGAGCCCAAGAGGGGCTCGGTTCTCGTTTCCAACCCCTTCGTGGGTAATAAACCTGCGAAGAAATTGCTCTCTTCCGTGCGGGCGTGGGAGTTGGAGGCAACATGACTTTACCTCCCTGAGTCAGCTGAGCCACAGGGAAGCCGAGCTGGCTCTGGCTTGCTGTCCTCACCTGAACCGAGTCATGCGGAGGCTGAGTGAGGGCGACTTCTTCAGGAAAACACATACACGTCAACAGGGCTACGCAAGAACCTGTTGGGTACGTGGTGGCATTGTTGACAGGAGCCACAGGTGCCACTTAATCAGTGGGTGGCTAACAGAGGACTGACACCCCCCCCCATTTATTTTGGTTTTTTTTCTGCCCCTCACAGTTGACAAGTGGTTCTACTACCAGAAGAACTAAGACCTGAGGATGGGTGGTGAGACAGCTGTGTCCTCCCCACCGAGGAGTCGCCACGTGCAGGAATAGAGCAGAAAAATAGCTTCAGCGTCGACGAGAGGACCTTGCCTGCAACTTTGTCGATTAGAATCGCGTATCTAGCAGTGACGTGTCTGCTGTATCGGGGTCTTGTGGAGGCTAGAAGACATAATTTATAAAATCAAAACACCCTGCTTGTGCGTGGTCATACAGTGTACTTTGTAAATCGCGACAGAAGATCGCTCACCTGGTACGTGTATGGATGCTAGAAATAAAAACTACTGAAACAGAATGCTGCAGGGCTCCCTCTCCTTCCCCTGGAGCCCAGGGGTGAACAGCAGTCCTTAGAGCAGTCTATGCTGGTAGTTCTGGGGAGGATTTATCGGGTAATGAACTCGCTATCGTGACTTGCGACCGGCCGGGGGGCGGCCTCGAACCGGGGTCCTCAATGGGTGAGCGCGAACCCGCCGGGGGGCGGCCTCGAACCTGGGTCCTTCCGGAGCGGGGCGGTGCTGGCGTGGCGTCAGACGCAGGG